GAAGAATATAATTCACATTGACGAACGAGATCTTAAAATTTCTGTAAAATGGATGGTGAAGAAACAATTGGAAAATGGATGCTTCCCTGTGATCGGCAGAGTATTCCACAAGGATATGAAGGTATTACATACGCAGCATTAAATCTTTCTTCAAAGAAGTGACACTTAGTACTCTTAAATGTGTTTACAGGGCGGTCTGCAAGATGACGATACTTCTTCCTCGGCATTAACGGCTTACATTCTGATCTCGCTCTTAGAATCGGGCGTGCCATTAACAGCATCACTCATTAATAACGCTCTACATTGCCTGGAGAAAGGAATGGAGAATGACGGCGGTACAACGTACACGGCAGCTTTATCCACCTATGCCTTAACGTTATTAGAACATCCGAAAGCGAACAACAGCATGAAATTGCTTATGAAACGTGCAACGCGGAACAATGTACGAATAACAAAATTTACTCTAATTTTATCCTCAACCCTCAACTAAATCTAAGTTTTGAAGCAGGCCTGTCCAGAAAACTTAGCTCGCGAGCCAAATTTTGGATAAAGCTAGTTTTAAAGTGACCTGTTTAAAATACAGAATGCAAGTGAACTTTCGCCTATAATGATTGATAGAGAAGGGTTCAAAGTTTTTTTTATCTATGATTAAAAATTTCATAGTACAGATTGTACCAATCATTATACAAAAATTAAAATACAAAAATTTTTAGTTCGGCTCTAAATCTGTTGCTGTAGTCGAGTTTATGTCAATGAAAATATATAAGATAAATCTCAATCGGTGTATCTTCATGATAAATTTTCATTTGCTAGGATCTTCTCTGGTGGGAGGATAAACATAAACCATCGCTAGGATTGAGCATCGAAATGACAGCATATGCCGTGCTGTCTTTGGTGAAGTTAGGCGGCGAGACGAACATGGTCGAGGCGTTGAAGGCAGTTCGTTGGATGTCGAAACAACGCAATGCGGAAGGTGGTTTCACATCTACACAGGACACTGTGCTTGGCCTGGAGGCGCTTACGAAGTACGCCGCTGCGATGTCGAGCAACACAACGGACCTCTCGGTGCTCGTGACCGCCGGTGAGGTGGACCAGGTGTCTAGAATGTATAACGATAATCGTATGGTCCTCACGCAGATTCGTCTGCCCGTCATACCAACGATAGTCGAGATCTTTGCCGAGGGTGAAGGCTGTGTCTTAGTACAGGTAGCTTTAAATTTGTTCATAGAATTTTATAATAAAATATTCGATATTTGTACTAAACCATAAATTCGTATAAGTATAAAGAATTTGACCGAGAAAGGAATTTCTTCTTTTACTTGACTTACTTATATTGATCTAATTTCTACTCATAATTATTTTCAGAGCAATATAAAGTACAATGTTGCACATGCGACCGGCTCTGAAGCCTTTGACCTCTCAGTTAACGCAGCTCCCGCAACGTGGCTGGACGAATGCTCCAGGCAAAAAATTACAATTTGCACGCGATATAAAATGGCAGATGGGGAAAGTAATATGGCATTACTAGAGATCAATATGGTAAGCGGATACGTCCCGGATCGTACGAGCCTTCATTCTCTGTTGGAAGATCCAGCCACAAGTGAGTGTGCAATCGAAGAATATATTAAGAGGTACTAATAGATAAAATTTATTCCCTTGTGTGACACACAAATATTTGTAGAAGTGAAACGTTTCGAGGACGATCGCGGTATCGTCACCATTTATTTCGACAAATTAATCAACCAAAAGACCTGTATATCGTTTACGGTGACCAGAGAAAATATTGTGGACAGACTTGAACCAGCGAATGTAAAACTTTACGATTACTACCAACAGGAGTTGACGATATCTAGCGTAAGTTTACAAGAATATTCTCAATAAACACCAACTAACAATGATATAATTTCTTAATTTCCTACTCAACAATATAACTATTACGTACAACGTGCGTTATATATTATATTTTATTTATATTGTTGAGCGGGAACATTTAATATTGATGTAATGTTACTGTTAGTATTTACCGGCTTGTTCATGATTCATTAAATATCTAAAATATAAATATAAATATACATATTTTATAATATATTTGCATTATACATTTTTCAGAGCTACAGTTTTGCGGCGACTTGCAGCAGTGCCACTCCGAGTGAAGAAGTGGAGGTTCCCAATCCGGTGCCGATAGAAGTACAGGAAATGGGCAAAGACACCGCGAAGAAGGATACTGTGGAAAAAGATGTACTCGAGAAAACAGCTGAAATCCCGAACGATCGAAACGGAACTGTAGAGCAGATAGGTAACGCGACTCAGAACTCTGATCTGGTCAAGCAACTCCGTGACAAAGTAACAAATGAGAAATCGGTAACCGGCATACAGTCTAGAAGCGAGGATATTTCACCGGTAGACAATTCCAATCCTAAAGTAAATAGTGACGATATCAATACCGTTACGAATGTTAGCGCAGCCAACAATAACGGCGTCGAGTCTGGTAATATGAATAGTTAATGAATATCACGTACATAGCTCGAGAGTAATGAGAACGATTTATACTGAAATCTTCTATTGAACTTATATATTTACACGATTAAATTCAAATGTATTAAAGTATGCTTCCAGTGCGCATTTCCAGTAGAAGCATATTTTAAGAAATCATGTTCAATTGCGTATAAATATAAGCTCGAAATGTTTAATTAAATTATTCTCGTTATTTTCGGGATAAATCTCTTTCTTTTTCTTGTATCATATCTTCTTCGTAATTTTCTAAATTTCCTGAATTTCTTAGTACCACAAAGAGAAACTGGAAGCGGCCAAACGCCGGACGAGCCGGACATCAATCTGAATCCCGTGTTCGACAGGCTCGGACCACCCAGCATAGATCTCGAGGACATGGAGGCACCGTTTTTAACTTTTAACAGACAGGGCCAAGATCCTTTTGCGACAGACTTCGATAGAAATCCGCTCTTCGTTGTGGTTGATCACGAACTAGCGACTCCCGAGGGTATCGAAGGACCTATACCGGTTTCTGTCAAACCCGGTATCATACATTTTGACGACAATCCTCTATCAAACATGACCAATGAAACCGATCAGAAAATAGAAGTGGATCTGAACAACAACGAAACATTACGTACGTAAATTCGAATAGACGTGAAAATTACACAAAATTGAAACCATTTTGATTTTTCTCATTCAGAGAAATTGGATATACATACAGTATAGCCCTCCCATACAGCATAGATCTTCAAGGGATGTCCTACAAACATCCAGAGGATGTTTCTACATCTTAAAAATGTTTCCAGGACGTCCCTCAGATAAAGTGTCATGGAAAATAACAGCTGAAAACTTCACTGATTCAGCAAATCTACAGTCGTAATATACAGACAGTCAATTTTCTATGTTAAAATAGCAAAGTTAACAGCTGAGTAATATTAGCGATTTGTTAAACCATCAAATCTTCTTAGTTACAGATATTGAATTCGCGCAGTAAGTTATAGGTTTGCTGTCCCACTGAATTTATTTTTTTTTCCGTGATAACTTGTTTCAATTATTCAGTTTATATTTTTTTCAAATTAGAAATTATCTTAATAGGTAAAATTAATCTTTTCCGTTATATATATAGTGATACCGGCACTCGAATAATTTTTTTTATTTCAGCACCTCTTGGTTCGAACGAGTCCTGTCCTGTATGCGCCGATGAATTACCGTCGAATATTAACGATCTTTATTGCTCCGCCAGTAGCGTCGTAAAGGCGGCGATTAGACGATTACGTAAAGCAAGGCTTCTATTAGATATGCAATCATCGCACGAAGTTACACGCCTGCATTCGATGATCGCATTTGTCTTAAGATCCAATTGTTCTTGCCCGCCTTTAGATAACCGTAAGTTGTGAGCATAATTAAGAACAACTATATACTATCGCCATTATATATTCACTATTATTATTTATAATTTGAATTATATTATAGCTGGAAGTCTAGCACTGCTGATGCACTTCGAGGACGGCGAGTTTGCTAAGCGCTCGCATAATCGATACGTCTTAGACGAACAGGTTTCTATATACGGATTACCACCGATTGGTGGTGTTCCACGTGAGATAATGGACGCTCGAGCAACGTGTGCGAATCAAGATAATAGCGCATTTCTTAATCTTCCTACGGCTGACTGATCTTCGGCGTTCCGCCGAGAATATACTAAATACAAACAGAAATAACAGAACACGTCATGTATCGCGTATCAGCGAAACTCAATCGAGAAGAAAAACTTAATCGTTTTCAGCCATACATATACAAAAATTAAATTACTTGAACTAGAATAAGATTTCTCTTGATTTGAATCAAGAAATTCATCGTTGCAATTTGATTCATTAATTTTAGCACGTCTCCTGTATGTAATTTGAAAGTAAATTTTACACAGGGTATGTAGTCGAATACACTCTGAACTTTCATCGCAAATCACTCTTCTGCATCTCCCACCGTACACATATCTCGACATCACATATTCTATGTTAAGAGTGTGCGATGAGAAAACATAATATCTAATAGAATAAAGTGTCATTTTTACAGCGAAAGTCGCGTTATATCGTTTAATTCTCGTAATTGTGAATAGCAAATAATTTACAAGTTAACAATAAACTGTAAATAAAGCACAGCGATTTATGATATAATAATTGGGTAATTCAATGAATCCATGAAATGTTAATCTTTAGTGTCGTATTTTCCATCACGGATTTTAATGTGCGAGCTATGTTTAAGCTATGTGTTTAAGGTGAGTAATAATATATCAATTTTTTGTTGATTAGCTTATGAATGAATTAGCTTGTGTAATTTTTCTAAACATTTGAAAATTGTATTTTCTTAGATAGACTCGATTGTGCAAATTTAATTCCGGAGAGCCAAAAAACGATGTTTAAACAAAAAAACAATCCTTTCTAAACAATGAAAAATTTTACAGAATCCGGTTCGAACAATTTTTACGCGTACAAGAATGATAGAAGCAAGAAGTATGAAAATATTTTGAGTTTTGAACGAATGTGTTGTATCTTTATTTGTTGCTCATGTTTGATCGCACTGTAATAGTTATTACAAATTAACAATCACCCGAATCGAATTCTCGCTACATTAAATAGTATTCCGTTATAATATATGTACGATTATTTAGTTAATAATTATATACGATTTTAATTCGTGATCATATTGTCCATTTGACATTTAACATTAATAGGATCGAGTTTGTTATTATCATGCGAAATGATATTTTAATTAAATTTAAATCCTTCGTTTGTTATATTAAATCTTGCATTTTTCAAAGGATAAGCCTCATTAAATATCAAATGGATAGATTCTCTGGAAGTATTATTATTTATTCACGCTGTATACAGTTAAATGCTTGAAATAAATAAACATATATAACTATTGCTTACTATACACTATTCATCGCGCTGGTTCGCTACAATACCATTGAGAACTTAACTACGTAAGGAATGAAAGGATGAATGTAATTGGCAGTAATAATCGGTATTCGCGCCGCCCATATCTCGCGCTAGATGACAAACACATGTTTTCGACTGCGAATATCCAAGATAGGAGTAGGCAGTGTATTACTTGCGGCGAATATGCATTGGCAAGAATGACGGAGTAACGCAAACGATGAGCATAAAGATATAGTGTGTAAAAAAAAGATTAAACAGCATGACATCTGACATTTGATAACGGAGCAATACTCGATCTCAAGGCGATCGTCCCATCGAGAGGGACTTATATTTTTCCCTTAAATTCGCCAAGAGACGCAGTGAATGTAGCTTGCAAGCGATGACGATCGTAAAATACATCACCTTCGCGAAGGCGCGACACATACGCTTATTAACATTTATCGACATTGAGAGAGATGTCGTATAATATAGACTATTAGTACATGTACCACCGATTCGTAACCGAGAGCTATATCTCGACGGCGGAGAATACACTACCAAAAAAAAAAACGGCCATCCCGACGAAGTTAAGCATGGAATACTAAACAAAACAAAAAAAAAAAGAAAGAAAGCATTTAAACTAACAAAAACAGACTCACGCCTCTCTCATATAAATATGAAAAAACTCGTAGAATACTATATGTAAGATCTTTAACAACTGATATGGATATGCATTTACAAATTTCACAATTCGAATACACAAGCTCGATATTAAATTATGTATGACTTTCTCGCGGGATTACTAGAATCTGTCGTATATTCGTTTACAGACTAAGCAGTAGCGATAATAGATCAATTAAAAAATTCGTGTCAAGCTGTGTTTTTAAGCAGAAAAAATATAGAACTATAAGACACAAGTTGTACTGGAGTATTGTCGTTGTATCGGTACGGATCTTACGAGACAATTCCCTAATCAAATCAGTTTTCTTTATAAATATTAATACGCATTATAAAAATCTTCCTACATGTTGCATATTCTTTTCGGATATTACGCTACAAATATAATTGCTATATATAACACCGTTAAACCTACGCAAAGCTATTCCCGGTCGATTCTTATTTAATTGCGCATTTAAACGCATCGTTTTATTGTACAATAAATCATATATCGATTTAATATGGAGCCTGCGTGTTATCAGGGAAATTTCAGCGGGCGGGCTAAATTACAGAGACGCAATAAACGTAACGGCGGCCTCGGTACATTTATGCATGTAATTCGAAATTGATGCATGAAAATATTAGATAAAAAATCGGAAAATACTGGTTTCTATCCGACTGATTTTTATCGTACCTTACGCGTCAATTATGCCAGAATGAGAATAGCACGTTGCTCGTAAAGCAACACATTGTTACGGACTTACGCGAAGGTCGCTGCTGTACTACTCAGTAGATTTTGGGTGCCGAACGATCGTTGATCGGGCCGCTGGTCTTCCTCAGCGGGGTACCACGTCTAATCTGATCCATGAGGGAGTCTCTCATTTGCAGAGGATCCATGATGGGAACGCGATTACCCATGATGCGCCTGATACTCGCGGATCTGCTCGTATTCCCCGCCTGCTGCAGAGCCTGTTGCTGTTGCGCCAATTTAGCGTTCAACGTTTCGAGAAAGCCGGGAGCCGCCGTTTTGACGTTCTTGGACTGTTGTTGTTGTTGTTGCTGCTGCTGCTGCTGCTGTTCCAAGAGTTGCTGTTTTCTAAGAGACTTTGGGCTCATATTCACACCCGCTGTGGCATTGCCGCTCATGGTACCAATAAGTTTAGCGTTGAGCACTGCCATGAAACCCTGGCCTACGCCGCCAGGTCCCTGTCCTTGGCTTGCAGCTTGTCCAGCTTGACTGACAGTAGTACCACTGGCTACGTTGGTGGTTTGTGCGCTGACAGATCCGCGTTCTTGGGACGACGAACGAGCAGCCGAGCAGGAACGTTCAACCGATGAACGAGTTATCTGCAGCACGGCATTATGTTGGATGATGCTCGAAGGATTATTGTGTCCCTGCTGCTGTCCAGTAGCCTTTCGTAAGAGCGACGGACTGGCTGGTGTATGACGAAGCTCGGTCAGAGTTCTCACTGTTTCGGAAACCGAGATGGATCTACAAAAAATAAAACATTAAGTAGAACTACGGACTCGCATCAAAGAAATTAAATTGGAAAGAAATTAAACTGGAAAGAGATTAAATTGTGGCATTGAAACTTTCAATTATAAAGTTTATTGTAGCTAAAAATATTAAGCAACGTCGATCTTCACCTCTGAGGCGTAGGGCTGACCGTGGGCGAAGAGCTTTCGAGAAGGAACGCAGGTGGCGGAGGAAGGTTCTCTGTCTCATCGCAAACATTCTCGCCCCGATCTTCATTAACGGATGAAGTAGGAGGTACGGTGATGACGGTGGATGTGCGTCTTGTCGGTGGTGGCGGTCTGCTCGTCTGCTGTGCAGACCCTCTACGTGTCACTAACGTAGCTGCGGCGCCAGGTACGTTCCACGTATTCTCGTTTTGATTGTGAAGCGAATGAGAGTGTGGCAAAGTATTTTGGCTTCCGTATCCACTGCTGGATTCCAAACTGGACTCGGATGTCTGACTGCCGGCGTCTTTCTCCGGGACTTCGATCTACACGATTCAGCGAAACGTAAGCAAAATTGAAAATATTTGTTTAAAATATTGTACATCTTATGCCTGTATCAAATTAAACTGAGATTGAAATTGAATTTGACTAACCAAAACAAAGTTTATTAAACTTGATACTGATTTTGTTTCTTCTAATTAGTTAATTTCTATTTCAATCTCAATCTCTAGTCTGATCTTTAGACTTTATATTTTGTCGCTGTTTTCGTATACCTTGTCAGTTCCTGGTGTTGTTAACGATGCTGGAGGAGGAGGCGGTGGAAGTTGCATCTCCTGAGCACGACTGGCAGCTAGATTCGCCAACTCGTGCATGTTTACATACATTGGTTGTTGGAGCTGATGGCTTGCCAATTCTACAGGACCGTTATAACGGTAAGTCTCACATCGAATCGTAGCTCACGTAGTTTACGTATCGATGTTAAACAAACCTTTCGCCAAATGAGCAGGAAGAGGTAACTTTGGTTTCCCTCGAGGACTACCAGGCGGCTCGTTTTTCACCGGAATCGTCGGTCGTTCCAAACTAGAACACCTATTCGGTATAGGTGGACGATTGCCGCCATTATTTCTACGAAGCTGCACCCTGGACAGCTGCTGATTCGAGGAAGAACATGAAGAGGAAGAGGAAACCGGAGAGGCAGGCTGGCTATGACAGCAACTGTTACCGTCACGATCCGGAGCTTGGAATGTGTAAACGCTGAGCGCCGGTCTTTGATGTCCCTTTTCGTACGCTGAAATAAAATAAAAAAAAAACGTAATTAAATCGGAATTGCAAATCGAATTATCATGACAAGCACATATATAAATATTACTTACCGGAGGAAATAGTATGTGGCCGTTCGTTCACCGCTCCCGGGTTTTGCCGATCGTACTGAACAGACGTTTCCTGCAAATCAGGCCAAGTAGAAGTTGTCACGGGTCGCGTTACAGTACAACCGGTACTTTGATTACTTAGAGAAGACACATTCGATACCTAAAAACACGAGCCTCCTCTTTAACCGACCGCCAACGAGAAAGAGCAGGACAAGATAGAACGTGTGAAAATGCATTCTTGAAGTTAAACTACTGAATTTTTTTAAAACTGGGAACATAAGCAGATCTAGCAGCATGATCACTAGGCGGCGGAAACTTGTATGGTCTCACACTTTGAATCTTCTATATTGTGCCATTGTGATTTTAACGTGAACATTTCATAGAAATTATGGAATTAATGTTTAATTCTAAATTGTTTTAAAAATTGAATGTTTTTTTTAAGAGCTCGTCGTTGGAGGCGACTTTCGCTGCACATCGTCCGTCCGGAGAAGACTATTCATCGTGTAATTCTACTAATCACTAAACGATTTTACCTGATGTTCGGAAATCGGTTGGTTGTACAACGTATCCTGTGATGTAAAACCGGAGTCGCGGGAACTGCCACTGGTCAAATGGCGCAACGTCGTGATGCCGCTGATGCTGGCGGGCCTGACACCAAATGGCTACAACGAGTACAACATCGACTACCACATACAATAAGCTCGGGCAAATGTAGCAATTAATTCGTGCTGTAAAATCTATATTCGTGATTACTAGGTGCATTGCAGCTGATGCACTAACGGTGTTACTATGTCATGCGGCATGAAAAAACATCTAATGGATCAATCCGTAAAAAAAACAAGGTGAGAAAAAAGAGAAAAAGACAGAAGAAACGAAAGATACTGCCGACGCGTAATTACCTGAGAAAGCGATCTATGCCACGGATGTCCAGATGGGCTCGGATGGCTTTTACAAGATCCACTACTGCTACTAGTTAGAGAACTGATCGAACACATAGAACTCTTCCTCGATCCGAGAGACAATGACGGGCTCGATGGCGGTGTAGCCAATGACCACTGAGTAACGTCGCAACCTTTTATGTCCGTTATTACCTGCTCGGATGCAGGCGGTAAATGATGCGGCGACGCGGCGTGTCTTTGCAATTGATCCGAGACTTCTTGCAGATGCGTCAATTCCATTAACATCGCTATCTCCTCATCCTAAACGGTTGATTATGCATTTATATGTGTATACATCGCCATTGTACGTCAGTTAACGAATGTATATATACGTATATATCTTTAAAATATCTACTAACGAGTACGGGTTTCAGGAATCGGGCAAGGAGACAAAATCTGCCCCTCTCTTCGAGAAGGGCCGCACGGACGGCTTTTCGTTCCGTTTCTTCTAAACTCAGTCTTTTCTCCTGAACAACCGCCGCTGATGACTCTAGCATCCTATTGAGCTCCACATCAGAACATGTCCCGTGGCTTTGAGACTGTCCTTGAACATGTAAGTGAACTTGAACCTTTCGTGCTTTCTTCTTTTGCAGACGCAGAGTATCGGTGGAGCGTTTCTTTAGCTCCGTCCTTGCCTTTTTGAATTCTAAAAATAGCGAGATATCGAATTACAGAACGACGACGCTTCTTGAAAATGTAGTTTATCAAATTACTATAATAATCGTAAAACCTTTGGCATGTTCTTTGTCTAAATTGATCAAAGACTTCTTCCAATCTTCCAATTTCTCTTGTAAAGGCAGCACCAAACAGTCCATAATAGCGCTTAAAGAAACAAACAGTAGATATGAGTGCAAAGAATATTCGGATATTAATTGAATAAAAATAAAAAGAAATTAATGAAGTTGTACACAGGATATTTTAACATACCTAGTAAATGACTTCATACGAGTTTCCACCGCTTTATGTCTCAAACATATTCGTGTCAGTGCTGTTCCGATTTCCTTAGTTGCACCTTAATAACAGTGTTATTTTAATATCACTTTATTTTATTTTTTTTTATAGTTTTATTTTATATTTTGTCCATTTTAATTTATTTAGTACAGACATTTAATAATTCAAATTATATAGACAATATAAAAGATTTATTATCATTAATTAAGTGATTAATTGGGGCTTACCTCTGGCATTAGTCGCAGCATCTGCTATTTTCTGAAAAGCCTCAAGATATGCGGAAATAGCCAAAATGGCAGCTCTGCAATAATATATGTCTCACATTAAAGATAAAAATTTCTAAGTATCCCGAATCATGCAATTTCAATATTTATTTTACAAAAAATATGCAATATACATAAAATACACATAAAACAATTGTATAAAATCTCTCTTAATGTTGAAGCTATTTAATATAAAATATGTAATAAACATATAATAAAAATGTGCTGGTGGAAAATCTGAATTATTATAAAATAAAATATATTCGAGATTATGTAAATTTCTTCACCTCAAACTTGCGTGTAGCTTTGTAGCTTTTGAAATCAAATCTTCCCAAAGTGGTGCTCCGTTCTATAAAGAGAAACAGAGTGTTATAATGCATACGAGATTTATATTTTTTTAATTAATGTCAACATAGCTCTAATATTAGTTTTTATTAGTCAAACAGCAATCTGGACTGATATACTGGTAATAGATAACATAATCACACACGCCCCTGCATATTTTTTTCAATAATGTGTGCGATATGTGTATATAAAATACTAGTTTATATAATACTAGAGTTACGATTTCTTAACACATAGCTATGATTCATAAGAGAAACTAACTCAGGAATACACAGAAAAAAATGTTTTTGCTCCTGATTTCTCAAAGCAAACATTTTACTGATTTTACTGTTTTAAATAACATTAGGATATTTTGTTTATACTTAAAAGTTAAAGCATTTGCTTTTACAAGAAGTTACAGAAATTATAAGGTATGCACAAAAGAACATCAATAGTAGAATATTAGCCTGTCCTAACAACAATGATATTTGCAAGTAAATCCTTTGAACTATAAAACAAATGCGTTGCAATAAAAACAAAAGAAATACATAAAAGGTAGGCTGTTACTTAAAAGAAACACTTGAATTCACTTGTCACAAATAGTTGCTCCATTTTTACTCATACGATCAAATACATTTTATACACACATCTTAATAAATCATATTTAAAACATTAAACATATAAAATAAAATATCCAAAATATTCCTTCTAAAAGCTCTGTAAAATCAAGAACTAGCAAATCTCCAAGAATGCTAAAATCTTGAAAAAAAAAAAGGATAATTTCATTACATGGAAGAGTGCAATAAATATAATACAATCGGGATTCTCAGGTAAAAAGGAAAAGAAATCATAGCAAAATAACATAAATCTTTAAATTCAAAATCCTCAGGAATTATAAAATCTCTAAACCAAGAGAATCAGGGTAAACATTCCGACAGACATCGGCCTAAAATACAAAAGGTGTGCGAAGCGCGAATGATGTCGAGGGCGATCGGTCGAACCCAAATAAAACGGATGTTTCTCACCTTCATATCAGTGACGATCTGCTGAAACAAACCGCCCAACGCGCTACACTCCCGCTCTATCGTCGCATCCATGTTTTTTCGTTTTCCAGAGGTTTGGCCTGAATCCAACTACTAGGTGGTACGAACGCTCTTCGCGGTGGACGCGACGAGTTCACTCCGCGTCGTCGACGCGACGGACGTTGACGGAAACGACACACCGTCGCCAGCGGGGACGTGTGGTACGGACCGTCATTTTCAACCGCGTGAGAACGAGAGACGGAGAGACACGCGCGCACACACAGGCACAGAACAGAGACAGAAAGAGGGGAGAAACCGAGACGAACGAGGAAAAATGAGACAGGGTGACAGCAACGAAGCGTGGACGCGTCCACGATTCGCGGGCCTCGTCGTCGTCGCGAGAGTAGACTTTACCAGCGGATGCGCAGGGTGAATCTCACGAATCTTATCCTCGCGGCTCGCGACGCTCTGTAAACAACACAACACACAATAGCGGTAACAGCGACGGACGACGACGGAACGCGCGGCGTGAGGCGTCCCGTACGACGCGACTGTCAACGAACGGATGGACGGACGATTGAACTCGCTCGCTCGCTTCGCGCGCGAATCTGTTTCCTCCGCGCCGCGCTGGATCGTTGCCCTCTGCGTGGTGACCTCGTTCTAGAAATCGGGATCGATGTTATTCGGTATGCGCCTAATCGTTATCCCGGAGGGAAAAGCGAGACGGAGAGGGACGGAGGATGGAGAGAGCGAGAGGGAAAAAGAGAGAGATAGACAGATGGGGAACATCTTCCGGATTCCATGGAGGCATGGAGCTTGTATACACTGTGCGGTTGGCTACGGTTGGCTAGCGCCGCTTTCGCGTGCGATTCTCGCCGCCATACTTACCGCTCCACACTTCTGATTGGCCGGCTGTCGACGCGGTTAAATCAGAAAACTACTTTCACACGAAGAATTCTGTATGATAAAAGGATCCAACTAACAATCAGAGCAAAAGAAGTTTGAATGTGTAACGAAAAAATCCATTTTTTTTGCAAAAAGAAAAAGGTACAAATAATTTTGAATCTTTTCCTTTTTATAAAAAAATTAATTTTTCATTACATATTAAAAAAATATTAATTGATAAAATATATCACAAAGATTTTTCAATTTATAAATTAATAAATCTCTCAAGTGACTCGACTTAAAAAATGACTAAGATCATTTCCTTTTAAATAGTTTTACAAGGATAGCATAATCATTAAGTTGAGACTATACTTTTCGATTTTTTCTTTTATATTATAAAATAATTTAATTACTTAAAAAACCTATATAATTACACTCCTAATGTTACATTCTTAATTACAAGGGCGGCCATAACTGTGCTGCTTCTGCATGCGCGGATTCTGGCAGCCACTTTTGGTAGGCTGACAGCAAAACTGGAATTAAAATATTTTACGTTCAATCGCGAAAATATATATAAATTTAATTATGTAAATATATAATGATATAATTATGTCTATCTAAATATTATAATATAAATCAAAATAATCTTACATTTCTTGTCCAAATCCCAGATTTCTATCAGTTTGTCTTTGGATAAGACTCCCTGCGATTGTAGCGTTTGTACTATTGCTTGAGTGCGAGGTATCAGCCTGGAAAAATCGCAGAATTGATATAATCTACCTGCTGAATCAGATGAAATTGAAAGAAAATAAAACTAATAATTTACTTGGCCCATGACTTAGTGATGCTACCGGGTGTCGTCAGCAATGACGGGACAAATCGTTTCAGCTTAGGACACACTTGACCCTCCAAGAAGAAATATGCAAACCATTTGATGCCGTCAACTGTCAACGGATGTTCTATATCCATCGATGGTAGTGCCCATCCGGCTTTTCCGAATGTACCGGACACGCGACAGATGATTTTCCCAGTTTTTGGATTATACCTGTAAATAAAAATTATATATTCCATAATAATAAAGATTAAAATCTTGATTAATAAGTAGGAAAAGCATATTTTAAAATAACAACTATATAATAAAATAAAATTACCTTGGCGGTGGATCAACCAACGGTTCGCTGAGGCGACACAACATGGGCACGAATTTCGGCAACCATTCGGGTTCTATCGCTGTGATACCTCGCATGTACATCTTATTTGTTTCATATATTTCTTGATAAACCACCCATTCCGGACTGGTTTTCCGTAGAGAGCATGAGGAATGCATGAACACAGGTTCCTCCATTTCTGGTGTTCTAAAAGATAAGAGAGATAAGAGAAAATATGCCCAATGAACTCTGAATTATCGATAATTAACAGCATACCTATAAGCATGTTTCCACTTGGACTTATCTTGATCTTCTTTTATCTCATCGGGCAAAACCTTTTTCGCGACTTGATCCGCCATACCTGCAAGAACTATCTGGCGCAGCAATTTCGCTTGCGTATCGGTCGGCAATGGCATTCTGTAAGAGTTTTTGTTGTAACAAACCTCCTAAACATATTGCAATATACATAGTCGAATTCCAATGTTCTGAACAATCAGGTCTAAGAACTTCCTCTAAAAAATTTACTGTATATAGATTTAGAATAGAGAATACTCAGAATAAGGATTTTTGTAATAAAAGATAAAACGTACTTTGGATCAATGATTAAATTTAAATTCGGTATGTTTAAATTAATCTCATTGGTAAGCTGTTGCCTAAGTTTCCTGATCTCAATCACAGCCTTGTGTCTCAAGCCATTTTCCTCGCAAAAGGGCAACAGTCTTCCCTTTGACCCTGCATACTCGGCAGTTCCGATGGCTCTTAACAAAACCATCAAATCGCCTGTACATAAACAGAAATATATATCGTTTATATTCGTTATACGAATAAAAAATAATTTCGAGATTATATACCAAGAAGCAAACTATTGCCAGTCCCAGCCCAGTAACGACGCTTTTGGAGCCATTTGCTTTTAGTTGGACCCTCCATGTCGAGTGTTTCTATCAGCACTTCTTGGACGCTTAGAGCCGCTACTATGCATATCGTGTATTTCGATAAATTATGCTGATGAGATAGTGCCAGCATTTTGCCGTAACGCGGAGATACTGGAAACGCGGCGATACTACGTCCAAGCGGCGTCACCTTCGTGTAGTATATCTCTAAACAGTAAATCATTAATTAAACAACGTAATGTTTGAATTATAAAAAGAATATTGTTTATCAGTATATTGTTTCTTATAATAATCAATTCCAAAGCAATTGCAATCGTAGACTTCAATCTTACGATTATAATTTTCGATGCTGTCTAAATGACAATAAATGTCCACATTCGATTACCTTCTTCTTTCTTCGAAGGTGGCTGTAATGCTTCAAGTATCGTGAGTCGTTTCTCTGCAGACTTTAATTGCACAATATCCGGTGGCGTGGGAAATGGAAAATTCACGACCTTATCTATATTCATTGCCTTCATCTGCAGCAACAAATCGTCCACTGGTTTTCTCTGAATCTCCGACTGACTGTATTCCTTGAAATCGTTGTTGTATACGGCCGACGAGTATAATCTATGCGAAAGGAAACGATATATATAAAAGCTTCAAAGAAAGAGATTAAGTAAACAATTTATAAGATTCATTTAAAATATAGAATTTCTAAGGCCCAGTTTCACAACTCACGGTCAACTCTTAACCAAGGTTCAACTTGTTTTTTGTCTCTCTCCCATTCTAGAATTGGAAAGAGATAATGAATAAGTTGAACCTCGGTTAAGAGTTAACTGTGAATTGTCAGACTGAGCCTAAATCTAGAATTTATTGAAATACATTTCTAAAGAAAAGTTGACCAAATCTGTAAGGTCGACCTTATATTAAAGATTTTCATGCGTATAAATTGCAGGATAAGTGTCGAGATACCTATAGCAATGACCAGGTCGAGTTCTGCCGGCTCTACCGGCACGCTGAGTGGCCGCTGCTTTGCTAGCATAGCTAATATGATATGTGCTTACACCTGTCACTTTATCGTATAGTCTAGTCTTACAACGTCCACTATCTACAACATATCTAATATTAGGAATCGTCAGCGAGGTTTCCGCAACATTAGTAGATACCACGCACAAGCGACATCCTTCTGGTGGTGGCTCAAACACCTAAAATCATTAAAACAAAAATATTTCCTCATAAAAGAAGTCTATTATTTTATTTTTTTATTTTATTACAAAGACTTGTTAATATAAAAAAAAAGAATCATAGTTAATTTATTAAACTGTATATTTACTCTGGCTTGTTTGTACCCGGGTAAGAGAGAATAAAGGGGTAAGACCCATAATGGCTGTGCGTTTGTTAGTCCCTTGAAATCAATCACATCTTCATCCTCATCTTCGTCTTCGTCCAAGTTGTCTTCATCGTCCTGTACATTGATCAAATCTTCATGCGTGTCATCAGTAGGACTTATTGAATAACTAAACATAAATATTTGTATGATAAATTTGAAAAATATTACGGAAGAGTAATAATTGTAGTTTGAATGTACATACTCATCAAGATTAATAGTTGGAAGTATAATCTGCTTCTTTTGTCTCCGTTTATTACGGCGCAAGGCTTCCTCAGCGTTGAAATCGTCGTCGGAATCGTCTTCGGAATTATCTTTTTCACTGTGTTCTTTATTCAGTGCTTCTGACGCTTCATTTTTTTCAGAGTCTTTCACCACTTTAATTTGGGGTTGTTTATTCTTTTTCAATGGAAACGATTTACGTAATTTACGCACAACTGTATGCACCTCTTGCTGACCTGCGACAAATAAATAGTTAAAATTACAGAGATTTGACTATAATAATAATTTACGAAAATAGAGAAGTTTCACAAGAATTTTTTACCCGTTAAAAATATTAATATACCGCCTTCTGGAAGGCGAGTATGTATCTTTATTGCTTTTTGCAATGCTTCATTGACATAATCCTTGCTTGTTGTTCTATTAAAATGTATCTTTACAGGAAATTGTCGTGCTTTGACTTCAATTATCGGCGGCTTTATCTTGAACAGCCTGGTGTTCTTTACAAATTCTTCCACAGACAGTGTAGCTGACATAATTATCAACTTTAAAGGATTACCGCGTTTGTTACGAAGCGGTACAATTCTCGATAATAAACCAATCAGGATATCGGTATACACGCTGCGTTCGTGTGCTTCATCAAGTATAATCACTGAATATTTTGTTAACAGGAAATCCTACAAATAAAAGAATGACCAATTTAGGTACAACATGAAATATAATAATTATATAATGTAATAATTATATAACAATGATATTATATAAAAAAATGATATATAAATTATATTACAAAATTCAATTTATTACTCACACTTTGAACCTCTTTCAGTAAAACACCATCAGTCATGAATTTGATTTTCGTTTCCTCCGTAACATTTCCCTCAAAACGAATCAAATATGAAACCTCCTTTTCAGAAAGATTCAGTTCTTCAGCTACACGCTTACTCATTGACATTGCTGCCACTCTTCTTGGTTCAGTTATTCCGATCAATTTATTTTGAGCGTATCCAGCCTCATATAAAAATTGAGGCACTTGTGTTGTCTTCCCTGATGGAATTGAATAATTAAAAAAAAAAATAATATAAAAAATCGTTTTTAGTCCAATATTACTGTTATAATCTAAGAAATTAACAGGCTTTGATATCACTACTGTATCTATTAATTATAATTTTACATACCACTTCCAGTCTCTCCAGTAATTATAATTATTGGATTC